GGCACCGTGGGCGTTATGAAGGATGCTGCAGGAAGGAGAGGCCTGGGAGATGAGATCAGAGAACAGAGCAACACATCGCCCGTCGTGGGGCCGGGGTTCGAGTCCGCCAGAGCCCAGCTCAAGACAAGCTATTCCTTAATAGTAATATCATAATATGGGACTGTGCCACAGTCTTCATGGCGAAGTGGTAATGCTCTCGACCCGCGCTCTGCCAGTGGTGTGGCCGGGGTTCGAATCCTGGCTGGGGAGGATTGACTAGACGCCAAGGCGGAAACAAATGGGGAGAGTTTGATCCACCTGATGCCTCTGCTCACCTAGAAGTAATTAGGTACCCGGGAGTTAGACAGCTGCTACTAGCTGCTTCCTGGAGGTAAATACTCACCTAGTTGTGCTTCCGGAGGTTGAACTCCGGCTCTTTGGTCCCGCCTCTCAACTGTAAGACCAATCCTGGAGTATGCGGCGCCAGCATGGAGCCCGTACCTTGTCAAGCACAAGACGAAGCTGGAAAAAGTTCAGAGGAATGCCACTAGACTAGTCCCAGAACTAAGAGGCATGAGTTACGAGGAAAGGCTGCGGGAAATGCACCTTACGACACTGGAAGACTGAAGAGTAAGGGGAGACATGATCACTACCTACAAAATCCTCAGAGGAATCGACCGGGTAAACAAGGATAAACTATTCAACACTGGTGGGACGCGAACAAGGGGACACAGATGGAAACTGAGTACCCACATGAGCCACAGAGACGTTAGAAGGAACTTTTTCAGTGTGGGAGTAGTTAACAGGTGGAATGCATTAGGCAGTGATGTGGTGGAGGCTGACTCCATACACAGTTTATAATGTAGATATGATAGAGCCCAATAGGCTCAGGAACCTGTACACCAGTTGATTGACAGTTGAGAGGCGGGACCAAAGAGCCAGAGCTCAACCCCCGCAAACACAACTAGGTGAGTATACATCAATGATGGTGTAAAAACAGGTGTGATTTACCGGGCGTTAATATTGACTAATGCGTCACGTTACTGCCGGAATGTTGTGTTCTGTTAACACAATGTTGGGGTGATTATGTGTGTGTGTGTGTGTGTGTGTGTGTGTGTGTGTGTGTGTGTGTGTGTGTGTGTGTGTGTGTGTGTGTGTGTGTGTGTGTGTGTGGTGTGTGTGTGTGTGTGATTTACCCACTACCTTCATGTTAAAGGAAAACCAACTAACACCACTTGCGAGGGTTGAGCTCTGGCTCTTTGGTCCCGCCTCTCAACTGTCAATCAACTGGTGTACAGGTTCCTGAGCCTACTGGGCTCTATCATATCTACATTATAAACTGTGTATGGAGTCAGCCTCCACCACATCACTGCCTAATGCATTCCACCTGTTAACTACTCCCACACTGAAAAAGTTCCTTCTAACGTCTCTGTGGCTCATGTGGGTACTCAGTTTCCACCTGTGTCCCCTTGTTCGCGTCCCACCAGTGTTGAATAGTTTATCCTTGTTTACCCGGTCGATTCCCCCTGAGGGTTTTGTAGGTAGTGATCATGTCTCCCCTTACTCTTCTGTTTTTCATAGATATGAGGTTCAGCTTCTTTAGCCTTTCCTCGTAGCTCATACCTCTCAGTTCCGGGACCAGTCTGGTGGCATACCGCTGAATCTTCTCTAACTTTGTCTTGTGTTTAACTAGGTATGGACTCCAGGCTGGAGCTGCATACTCCAGGATTGGTCTGACATAAGTGGTATACAGGGTTCTGAACGATTCCTTACACAAGTTTCTGAAGGCAGTTCTTATGTTGGCCAGTCTAGCATATGTCGCTGATGATATCCTTCTGATGTGGGCCTCTGGGGACAGGTTCGGTGTGATATCAATCCCCAGATCTTTGTCTCTATTTGACTCTTGCAGGATTTCACCTCCCAGATGGTACCTTGTGTTCAGCCTCCTGCTCCCTTCGCCTAATTTCATCACCTTACACTTTCCTGAGTTGAACTTTAGTAGCCGTTTTCTAGACCATTCCTCCAGTTTATCCAGGTCGTCCTGTAGTCTCTGTCTATCTTCATCCGTCTTGATTCTTCTCATAATTTTTGCATCATCAGCAAACATTTAGAGGAATGAGTCTATACCCTCTGGAAGATCGTTCACATATATTAGAAACAGGATGGGCCCAAGTACTTAGCCCTGTGGGACTCCGCTGGTGACATCTTGCCACTCTGATGTCTCCCCCCTCACCGTTACTCGCTGTTTCCTGTTGCTTAAGTACTCCCTTATCCACTGTAGCACCTTCCCTTTTACTCCTGCCTGTTGCTCCAACTTTTGTAACAGCTTCTCTTTCCTCACTATATGGTAGTCCTTTGGAAACACAGCGTCTGTTATGACTCCTGACAATTTTGTTTTCATGAGTCCTATTACATCAGGGTTGACTTCTTGCGCTCTTTCCCCCAGTTCACTTGCTTTATTGGTAATCCCATCAATGTTTGAGTACATTACCTTGAAGCTCACTTTTCTATATCCATATTCACCCTCCCTCCCCACAAGTGTAGGAAAGTGTTCCATGGGCAGGGGCTCCTTGGGTAGGCTCATCCTCCTGTGGGGTAGTTACCAGGGGTTTGGGGGAAGGTGAGGTATGGGATGAAAGGTTTAGATCTGGCCTGGACCAAATTGGGGCAGGAAGAAGACCAGGGGATGGGGAGGCAGGGGGAGTACTTGGGGTAAGGGGAAGAGGGAGGATTTGGGTAGTATGGTGGGCATTGTGTAAGTGCAAGGGAGGGTTTGTGCTTGTTTATGTCATGTGGGGAGGCAATTGGGGGTGTTGCAGTCTCGTCTGGGATTCTTGAATTGCTGGTTTGGGGTTCCCCACTCCCCTCTGGGGTTCCTGGGCTGCAGGCTGAGGCTCCCCGCCCTGACCCTGCACCTTCTCCTTGCATCTGTTGTCTGCGTTATCTCGTTCCTGGTCACGTCCCTCTGAAGGAATACCTTGATGTATTTCCCTGCATATTGCAGTTTGCTCTGTTTTACTAGGATGTCCTCCTTGATGGCCTCGTTCCTGAGTACCACCTTGATCAGTCGCTTTTGTCTTTGTTGTACTGACCAATCTGGAAAAACTCTTCTATGTATTGCTGAGTCCCTTCCATTTGTCTCTCCTTCAGTATCCCACACACTGCAGCTTTCTCCTTAGCCCTCAACTCATCCTGACTGGAACCTTTTTGTTCCCTAATACCTACCACAACTACAGCTCTTTTTCTTTCCTTTAGCTGGCTTGTGTATCTAGCTGCCTCCCGTGAAGTTACTGCTTTCATTACAACTTCCTTCACCATGGACATGGCCTCTGGGCTCGTCAGTGTTTCAGCAAAGGTTGGACCAAGTGTAGGGGTCCCAGCCGTGGCCACACCCCCTGCTGCCTGGGGGCTGGTGGCCCGGGCCAGCGGCTGTGGAGGGCCTGCTGGTAGGTGCTTCATCTCCTCTTGTGAACCACTACTGCAGTTTACGTATTGTTCCTCTCGTGTCTTTTAATTCCCCCAGTGATTCCCCTCCATGCACGAGCGGTCATCTCCATGCATGACTCGTCCTGATCCTCTCCTCCACCTGTGTTGTGTTGTCCCACCATCCTGCTGCGGCCCTTTGTCTTCCCCTGGGTTACTGTTGGTCCACACGGGTCACAGAGATGCAGAGGCGGGGGAGAGAGAGAGGGAGAGAGAGAGAGAGGAGAGAGAGAGAGAGAGAGAGAGAGAGAGAGAGAGAGAGAGAGAGAGAGAGAGAGAGAGAGAGAGAGAGAGAGAGAGAGAGAGAGAGAGAGAGAGAGAGAGAGAGAGAGAGAGAGGAGAGAGAGAGAGAGAGAGAGAGAGAGAGAGAGAGAGAGAGAGAGAGAGAGAGAGAGAGAGAGAGAGAGAGAGAGAGAGAGAGAGAGAGAGAGAGAGAGAGAGAGAGAGAGAGAGAGAGAGAGAGAGAGAGAGAGAGAGAGAGGAGAGAGAGAGAGAGAGAGAGAGAGAGAGAGAGAGAGAGAGAGAGAGAGAGAGAGAGAGAGAGAGGGGAGAGAGAGGGAGGGGAGGATATAGGGGGAGGTGGAGAGATGAGAGACAAGAGGAGAAGGGAGATTGGTGGATGCTGGGGGGGGGGTGAGGGGGGAGAGAGTAGGAGACGTGGACAGATATAGAGAAGAGCAAGAGAAAGAGTACGGTGATGGTGTATGGTGCACCACCACTGGTGTATGGTGCACCACCACTGGTGTATGGTGCACCACCACTGGTGTATGGTACATCACCACTGGTGTATGGTGCACCACCACTGGTGTATGGTGCACCACCACTGGTGTATGGTACACCACCACTGGTGTATGGTGCACCACCACTGGTGTATGGTACATCACCACTGGTGTATGGTACACCACCACTGGTGTATGGTACACCACCACTGGTGTATGGTGCACCATACACTGGTGTATGGTACACCACCACTGGTTTATGGTGCACCACCACTGGTGTATGGGGCACCACCACTGGTGTATGGTGCACCACCACTGGTGTATGGTACACCACCACTGGTGTATGGTACATCACCACTGGTGTATGGTACACCACCACTGGTGTATGGTACACCACCACTGGTGTATGGTGCACCACCACTGGTGTATGGGGCACCACCACTGGTGTATGGTGCACCACCACTGGTGTATGGTACACCACCACTGGTGTATGGTGCACCACTACTGGCAGGTTCTGAGGAAAGAGCTCCAGCCTGGTCCACTTTCTCCTACTTGGCAGTGTTGCCAACACCCCCTCCCCCCCCTCTTCAGGGGGCGCCACCCCCTCTCCCCCACGCCCCCCCCCTCTCCCCCACGCCACCCCCCCTCTCCCCCACGCCCCCCCTCCTCCCCACTTCCCCCCCCCTCCATCTTCAGGGGTCGCCCCCCCCTCTCCCCCACGCCCCCCCTCCTCCCCACTTCCCCCCCCCCATCTTCAGGGGTCGCCACCTCTTCTCCCCCACGCCCCCCCCCTCCACTATATCACATAAACAAGATAACATGGTCGACATAAACGACAAACATAAGAATATTAGGAACCTAAATCACGACTCCTTTAAGACATTCTACTTAACGTACGTCAGACCAATACTGGAATGTGCAGCACCGGTGTGGGATCCACGCCCTGTCAAACAAACTTGGCATGTACTGAGGTCTGCAGCAACACTGGTGCCGGAGCTAAGAGGGTTGAGCTACGAAGACAAGCTAATGGACCCAGATCTTACAGCCCTAGAGGATAGAAGGAGACATGATCCCAACATACAAGATACTGAGGGGGAACAGATAAGGTGGACAAAGTTAGGTTCTTCAGACAGCAGCTTACTGGTGGAAGCTGGAGACGCTAATGACCTGAACCGTTGTATGAAGTAATTAACCAATCTAAGTCCAATCTCCAACAATCTCCCCCAAGAATACTGACCAATCTCCAACAATCTCCCCCAAGAATACTGGCCAATCTCCAACAATCTCCCCCAAGAATACGGAACAATCTCCAACAATCTCCCCCAAGAATACTGACCAATCTCCAACAATCTCCCCCAAGAATACTGACCAATCTCCAACAATCTCCACCAAGAATACTGACCAATCTCCAACAATCTCCCCCAAGAATACTGACCAATCTCCAACAATCTCCACCAAGAATACTGACCAATCTCCAACAATCTCCACCAACAATACTGACCAATCTCCAACAATCCCCTCCAACAATACTGACCAATCTCCAACAATCTCCCCCAAGAATACTGACCAATCTCCAACAATCTCCCCCAAGAATACTGACCAATCTCCAACAATCTCCACCAACAATACTGACCAATCTCCAACAATCTCCACCAACAATACTGACCAATCTCCAACAATCTCCACCAAGAATACTGACCAATCTCCAACAATCTCCACCAACAATACTGACCAATCTCTAACAATCTCCACCAACAATACTGACCAATCTCTAACAATCTCCCCCAAGAATACTGACCAATCTCCAACAATCTCCACCAAGAATACTGACCAATCTCCAACAATCTCCACCAACAATACTGACCAATCTCCAACAATCTCCACCAACAATACTGACTAATCTCCAACAATCTCCACCAAGAATACTGACCAATCTCCAACAATCTCCACCAAAAATACTGACCAATCTCCAACAATCTCCACCAAGAATACTGACCAATCTCCAACAATCTCCACCAACAATACTGACCAATCTCCAACAATCTCCCCCA